AAGAGAGGAAGAGAGGAAGAAAGGAAAGGAAATACAGTAAAGGAAAATGAGAGTAATGGGCTGGCAAGATAGTTCTGCGGACTAAGTGCCTGCATTGGCAAATGCAGGGAATGGGGTTTGATCCCCCATATGGCATGCCATGCTAACCCTGCCCCTGAGGCGTGCTGAGCCAAATGATTAATGTGGGGAGGCAAAGTGCACAGGCCATGTGATGCCAGACCTCAGGGAAGGAGCAGTCTTCCTGCTTGGAGATGATATAACTGTGGACCTGGGCGAGATCCTCTGGGGAAATTAGGGTAATTCGAGGCTGTATGACAGTCCTGGGGCCTTTTATTCCCTGCCTGCCCTTACATACCTGCAGTTGCTTTCCCAGAGATCAGGTTCTTAGTGTCCAGTGGACATGTGTGACTCCCTCTCTTCACCTATCACAACGCCTACCCTCTGGGACCATGATGCCTCTCTCAGGTGTCCTCAGATAGTATGAAGCATCACCTTGCAAGCCAGAATCTTAGATGCCATCTTGGATTCCTCTCTGTGGTTCATCTCCCACAATTAATCCATCAGCAAGATTAAACAAAATAAACCTGCACTTCTCTCCCTGGCCCACAGCTCTGCCCCTCTGACTACACCTCATGCCTTTGCATGGCATTTCCTTCTGTTCTATAGACAGATCATCATAATGCCCAACTCAGGTCATTTGCATTTGCATCTGTGTGGCTGGCTGCCTCTTGTATTTTAGGGTACCTATCAGATATTTGCTTCTCAGGTGGGTGTGGGGTGGTGGGGAGGAAGGGGTGGTACTGGGGACTGAGCCCAGGACCTGGCACATGCTAGGCAAGAACCATCACTGTATCCTCAACCTTTTTTTTTTTTTTTTTTTAATTTTGAGTCAATCTCACCCAGGCTGGCCTTCAACTTGCAATGCTCTGGTCTCAGCCTCCTAAGTAGCTGAAATACAGGTGAATACCACCGTAGCTGTGAGGTCCTTCTTCACCTTGTTGGTTATAAAGTTTCTCTTTAATTTATTTTCAATCTCCAGGTATAGTGCTGCATGCCCATAATCTCAGCACTCTGGAGGCTGAGACAGGAGGATTGCTGTGCATTCAAGGCCAGCCTGAACTGCATAATTATGCATAATGCATAATTTTTTTCTTTTTTTAAATTTTATTTTATTTATTTATTTGCGGTACCAGGGATTGAACTCAGGATCTTGCATTTGCCAGGGAAGCGCTTATTCTAATGAGCCATCTCCCCCTCCCAATTTTTTTCTTTTTATCTTTTCTTTTTTATGTATTTTGTACAGGGTCTCACTATGCAGCTCAGACTCATAGTGATCCTCTTATTTCAGCCTCCCCAGCACTAGTATTACAGGCATGTGTCACCACAGCTGGTCTTGGTGGCCAGCTCAGTGTACCTGGGAGGGAGAGGGGCACAGCACAGCATGTGGTTTCTGGGCCCCAACTCCTGACCCTGCGCTTGCCTAAGCAAGCTGAGCTATCTCACTGGCCCTCTTTGTTTTTTATTTTGTTTTGTTTTGTTGTATTTTAGGGAGGGGTCTACCTGGTGTTCAGGGTCTCACTACTAGATCCAACTCATAGTGATCCGCCTATTTATAGCCTCCCAAGAGCTGGGATTACAGGCTTGTGCCACCACACCCAGTCTCAATTGCCCTCTCAGTATGCCCTGGGGGTGGGGCCAGCATGACCCTCTTTGTTTTTTTAATAGCATCAATTTACTTCTTGTATTTAGTTGTTACCTTTTTTTTCCCCCCAGTCTACCTCTAACCTCTAGTGGGTAAGCTCCTCTAGATATGTCTTAATTACCACTGCATTGGACAGGGTACCTAGCACACCACATTAACAAACAAATGAATGAAAGAAGGAAGTTGGTTGTTTCTAATTCAAAAAATATATCTCTAGAAAGCCAACTCTTTAATATCAATTATAAGATTGATTTGAAACTGTCTCATTGCTATATGTTTATCAATAAAACTTTGAAAAGAAAAAAAAAAGATTGAGAGTAAGTGTATTTATTGTCATAGGGCCTTAAATATGTGTCTGCATTGAGGGTGGGAATTGTTTGGTTTTAACAAAAACCGAAGTTAAAGAGATAATTCAGGGGACTAGCATGGCAGAGCCAGCACCCAGTCCACTCCTGACCAATACCTGAGCACCACCAGAAAGCTTAGATGTTCTGGAGCAAATTGATAGATACAAAGGTGTGTTTACACAGCACACAGACTAGCGGCTCTGCATGGTCCTTCTAATGTGATAGGCTTTGTAAGTGCTGTTGTGATCAGTCCTCAGAAGTAACACGGTAGAATAAGTATTACTATACCACTATAACACTATGCAACATTATTATAGAGAAGGGATGCGCTAGCTTGAATTCAAACTCAGGGCATCTTGACTCCAGAGCCCATAAAACTGTCCAGTATGCTTTGCTAGGTTTCTAGCATAAGATACTAAGAAACCCAAACATTCAGAAATATTGAATGATTTGTCTGAGATCATGGAGCTAGTCAGTGGTGGCCTGAAATTGAGACCAGGTTCTTTTGACTTGAATTCCAGGACTCTTTCTGCTATAGGTTTCAGACCTTCTGGGGCTAAGAGGTAAGACTGAATGGGGTACCCGTGCAGTGGACTCTTGGATGCCAGGAGAGGGGAATGACATCACATGGTAGAAAAGGCTGCTGTTTCTCTGTCCCCCAGGTGTTCCTGGAGAAGTATGGGTACCTCAGTGACCAGGTCTCCAAAGCTCCCACCTCCACGCAATTCAGCAATGCCATCAGGTAGGATGGAGGGATGTGGAGAACTTGCTGGTGTGGGGTACAAAGCTCTAGCCCCGCTCTCCTGAGAGGCTACAGGTGGACATGTCCAGGAAGATGATCCTCACGCTTCTACCGTCCCTCCCTTTGTGGTCCTTTATCTCTGTTCCTCCCGACAGAGAGTTCCAGTGGGTGTCTCAGCTGCCCATCAGTGGTGTACTAGACCGTGCCACCCTGCAGCAGATGACACGACCCCGCTGTGGGGTCGCAGACACCAACAGCCATGCAACCTGGACGGAGCGGGTCAGTGCTTTGTTTGCTGGACGCCGGGCCAAGAGGAGGCGCAAGAAACGCTTCACAAAGCAAGGTGAGCACTGCGGAAACCCAGCAAGGCCAATAGGACCACTTGGCTGAAGGATCATGACTGTAAATACAGACATTTTAATCGAAGTCTGCTTACACCGATGAATTTTCATTGTTTCCGGATGAAGCCCATTTAATTCTTGGATCAATTTTCTATGCAGGGCCATTAAATTATTATTTTTTTCCATAATTTTATTGAGAAAAGGGCCATTAAATTATTGCCAACACTTTTCATTTATATTTTATCGAAGTTATTTGTTCCAGAATCAATTATTTTTATAATAATTATTCAACATGGGGTTCATTAATCAGTTTTATTTTGTTCATAAAACATTTTACTACCTTTTGAAGCGAATGTACATACCATACCATATAATTTACCTTTTTCTTTTTATGTACTTGGTACAGGGTCTTACTACGCAGCTCAGACTCGTAGTGATCCTCCTGTTTTCAGCCGACCCAGCACTGGGATTACAGGCGTGCACCACCACGCCCGGTGTATGTGGTTCACTCAGCATGCCCAGTGCGAGAAGGGCAGCAGGGGAAGCCACGCAGCATGTGGTGCCGGGGATCCAACCCCCTTCCCTGAGCTTGCCTAAGCAGGCGTTTAGTCCGCTGAGCTATCTCCCTGGCCTGCGATTTGCACACTTAAAGTTTTCAACCCTGGGGACCAGTGAGATAACTCAGCACTGATCTAAAGCGCCTGCTTAGGCAAGCTTAGGCAAGCGCAGGGATCAACCTCCCTTCAATCCCTGGTACCACATGCTGTGCGAACCCCGCCTCCAGGGTGGGCTGAGCAGGCCACACACACACAAAAAATGTTCAACCCAGTGGTTTTTAGTATATTTGCAGATTGTGCAACCATTCCCACAATCTAATTCCAGAACATTTTCATTCCCCCTAAAAGGAATTCCATATCCATTAGCGGTTAGTACCCATTTGCCCCTCCCTGCAGGCCCTGAAAACCACTAATCTACTTCCTGTCTCAGAGGATTTGGTTCTTCTGAGTATTTCATCACAGCGTATTTTGTATGTCACAGTGTCTTTTGTTGTGATTTTCCTTTTATGGCTTTGTTTTGTTTCTTTTTTCTTTTTCTTCTCCTTCTTTTGTCTTTTTGTTGGTTTGTTTTGCAGTGCTGGGGATCTCACCCAGGGCCTGGAGGCTCTGCCACTGGGCCCTACCCCACCCCTTCTTCTTCTCCTCTTCATCTTTATTTTCTACTGAATCAAAATATTACTGGGTGAAATGGAGCAGATCTAAAATTTATGAAGATGTGACTCTTCCATCAATTTTTCAGCAATAACAAATTATACCTCATGTAATTGTAGCATTCCAGTTGCCCTAAGTCTTATTTTCTCCGATCAGTTTTTGTAGTTTTCAAAATTACTAGCAAGATGAGTTCTTTTTTAAGTCAAGTTTTCATTTATAATTAATTTTACTGTGAGTGCATTGGACCCTGCCACTCTTAACTGTTAACTCTTTTTACTAATAACCTTCATTAGAACGGGTCCACAGGCCCATAGTAAAGCACAGATGGGGTCCAGGGGTTCAGTGATGGGGTCTAGGCTCTGACCCAATGAGGCCAAGAGGTCCTTGGCGTCAACATGTCTTGCCTCCCACTGTGGTTCTGGAAAGTACAGAGGAAGGGTGAAGTTGGAGAGGAGAGGTTTGAGCCCAGGAGGCAGCAGCAGAACAGCAAGGACTTGATCCCTGGAGCAGGAGGCCCTGTGTGGCTCCAGCCATGTGACTTTGCTCACTGAGGCTGAATTCCTTCATTGACTTACACTGAGGGGTGCTTCGAAGGTTGCAGAGGAGAGCTGGTCCCTGATTACCAAATGTAAAGGCTTGTTGTGAGAGGCAGTGGAAAATGGGGCAGCCTCACACAGAGTCTGCGCAGCGGTTCTTGGGGCCTGAGTCCTGGGATGCTTCCCCGGCTCGCTCTCTCCCTTCCCCAGCTCCCAAGGAGGGATCTAGTGGAGTGTGTTTGTCACTTGCCTTTTTTTTTTTTTTTTTTTTTATTCATTTCTGTGTGTGTGTGACCGGCTCAGCCCACCAGGGGGCGGGGCTGGCTGGCATGTGGTGCTGGGGATTGAACCGTGGTCCTTGTGCTTTAGCTGAGCTTGTTCTAAGTAGGTGCTTTAGACCACTGAGCCATCTCACCAGCCCTCTCACTTGCCTTTTTGAACAGAGGATAGTGACCCTTGGTTGCCAGATAAAATACAGGACACCCAATTAGATCTGAATTTCAGATGAACAACAAAAAACTGTATTTATATTTTCTTGAATTCAAGTGTATTTTCTCAGGAAGCCAATCTCCTTCCTGGTGCTTGCTTCTTTCTTTCTTTCTTTGGTATGGGTCTCCCATGCAGCTCGGACGCATAGTGATCCTCCTGTCTCAGCCTTCCCAATGTTGGGATTACTGGCTTGCACCACCACACCCAGTTTGATGTTCCAGGGCTTCTAATGCCTGCTCTTCTCTGCCCGATATTTCACTTTCCCTGTTCCTTCACAGAGCTGGAGGGTATGGGGAAGTACATAGGGGTGTATTTGGGGTGGAAACAGGAGATGAGAACAGATACTGAGTATTCACACGTCAGTAGCTTTGCACTGCTGTTGTATTTAAACCCATGTGGTCTTTTTTTTTTTTTTTTTTTTTTTCCGGAACCGAGGATTGAACTGAGGCCCTTGTGCTTGCCAGGGAAGCCTGTATTCCACTGAGCCATCTCCCCGGCCCCTATTGAAATACTCATGAGGTCTTATTAAGCCCACTTTGCAGGTAAAGAAACTGAGGTTTAAAGAGCTTCCATAGTTTGTGTAAGTTTATGAGTCAAGGTCCTGGGGTTCCAACCCCTATTCTTTCTACACATCCATGGCCTACTGGCAATCAGGATTCTAGGGTCCTTCCCAGGCAGGGTTTCTCCCCGCACCTTTTCCTGCCCTCTTCCCTTCAGGACTTTGAAACAGAGGTGTAGGAGGTGTGATGCCAGGTGCTTCTGGGACCTCAGGGTTGCCCTAAAACCCAGCCTCATTTGGCCAAGAATCTAGGATGGGGCCTAAAGCCAGTAGTATTCTCCAAGACAGCCATTGTGGAAGACAGAGAGAGGGCTGCTGCCCCCCGCCAGTTCCTTCCTTCCTGGCAGGTGCACCAGTGACCCCTGACCCTGACCTCTTCCCAAGGAAAGCATTTTTTCTCAATTCCTGTTCCTGTTCAACCTGTCCTTTCCCCCCAAACACACACATGCACACACACACACACAGACACACATAGACACACACAGACAGATATACATACACACACATACCAGTTTTGCAGAGAATTTTTATCTGGAGACCAGTCTTCTTCTTCTTCTTCTTCTTCTTCTTCTTCTTCTTCTTCTTCTTCTTCTTCTTCTTCTTCTTCTTCTTCTTCTTC